CCTACACGTGTGCGCACGTGAACTGAGCGCTGCGCCCTCCAGGGCCTTATGCCCGAGGGGTTTGCGAGAGGCAATGTGGTAACGTTAACGGTGTTAGCAGTGTAATGTCTGACGCTAGCCCCACCGCAAACTGTGTCCTCAGGAAAAAATCAGAGAGCCTCGGGGAGCAGTGGAAGAAGGGAATTCCTATCGAGGTCATCCCCATGGCTTATGTCCCCGTCACCAGAGCCCTGACCAAAAGCTTCGGGGGTGCCGCGGAGCTGCGGATGGCTGTGAGCAAAGCGGTACGTGTCCCTGGTCAGCCCCGCTTCCCCAGCGGAGCCACCTGAACCTGGGCGAACGGAGGACCGGAGGCCTGGCCTTTCATCTCAGTAAATCTGGGCTTTCACTCCTGCGCGTGGCATCTTGTGTAATTCCTCCTAGCTATACTTTGGTTAATGAACTGTGTATTGAGGTGTTCAGGCTGCTCATGGAAAGCCTCTCTGGCTTATGTCTCCTAAAGCAAGCATCCCTTGCTTGGGGTGAGGAGGGGGACTGCCTCTCCTCAAGGGAAGGAGGGCTTGCCAGCCCAGGTTTGTCCTGCTGCTCTGCGGGGATTTTGGGGGGCTGGAGGGCAGGTCTCGAGTTTGGGGGGCAGCTCATGCTCCATCGGAGGCTCTTCCGTACCACACAGAGCCAGAGTGAATTAAAACTGACGCTGCTTTGTCTCCGCTACCACTGTCCTATCCTGACTTGGCTGCGGGACTTTGCCAGCCCACGTCGCGTGGCAAGGGAAGAGGAGCGCTGTCTGCAGTAATGGCTGGAATTAATGCCCGAAGGCTGAATACTTGTTTTTAATGCGTGTAATCCCAAGAGGCTATAGGGACTGCGTTTGGGTGCCTGAGAACAGCAAACCAGTCGTTCTCTGCGAACTTGAGACCAGCCTTGCGCAGGGGATGCGCATTGGTGCTGCTCCAGCACGAGCCGCGTCCTCGGAGGGTGCTGGTCCCTCCCGGCGCGCGTGGTTGCACACCCTGCTCAGCACTGCTGAAGAGCCTTGTCCGCAGCCCCAGCTGCCTCTGCTCTGTGGAAAGGACTCAGCTGCTCCTGCTGGGCTCGGGAGAGCGCTGGGCACGGCTGGGATGCCGAGAGCCCGGCAATTCTTCAACTCCAAAACCTCCTCGTGGCATCCGGCAGCACTCTCTTATCACTGGGGTGAAGGGGTCTTATTTTGGCTTCCATTGCCTGTAATAGCCTTTTTAGGACATTAATGTAGATTTAGTCTTGTGAAAAGGATCCCCTGTCGCAGCGATGAAATTGCATCGTCGTTTCCAGCTTCTGCATGATTATCTGTACGCAGGAGAACAAGGAACGAGCAGTTCCCTTGGGCGACGGTTCTACTTGCAGGCTTATTGTGGACTGCCCTGGTTTCCTTGAATGATGGCTGTCTCTAAAGTGTTGCGGCAGGGCCGGCTGCCCCCGGTGAGAGGCTGTGACAGGCCCTGGCTGCGCCCCGTAGACAAGGAGCTCACAGTGCTGACAAATGTGTTTTGATTCCCAGGGCCCCGTGGTGACGGACAACGGGAACTTCATCCTGGACTGGAAGTTTGACAAGGTTCATGAATGGAGTAAAGTGAACACTGCTATAAAAATGATACCAGGTAATGTCTATGATTTTAAAAAAAAGCAAAAGCTGGCTAAGGCTTGGTCTGTGCTAGATAACCCTGACGTGGGAGCTCTCCTCTGGATAGGAGGAAATGTGTGCATGTTTACTGCCCTCTTGTAGGTCCATACATTCCTTTCTGCTTGAGAGATCTGTCAGCTGAATTAGTACAGCCATACCCAAGTGGCAGTCCCATATGGTGGTGAAAACCTGGGGCGACGCCAGGTGACTTCCAACACTGTTTTCCATTAGGCACACCAATCCTGTGCTCTTTCTTACACTCCTTGTGCCCATTTAGAGAAGGGCTTTTAATGGAAGCACTGGTGGACTCTGGAGGGAGGGTTCGCACTGGGTTGCAGTATTTTCCAGAAGCCGCTTACAGCTCTGTATCCCATTGCCGTTGTGTAGCCCTGTGGGCTCACCTTGCTGTGAGGGTGCAGCGTATCCTCGCTATTGCTGTAGCTATTGCAGTGCAAGAGAGGAGCAGTGGCCGATCACACTGCAAATAAAACAGCCTCTCTGCAAGGACTCCTGCCTCGCACGAGAGCTGCTGCCCCGGCCAGAGCCGCTTCTGGATGATCCAGGTCTGCCCGGGGGCAGTGGCACTGTCAGGACTTCAGTGAAGCAGCAGATAGACCGGCTCAGCCACATCTGGATATCTTGTCTGGTTATTTTGGCAAAGTCTGCTCTTGAATCTGGTCAGCTTTTTTATCTTTGAGTTTATCCCAGATACCTGCCTGCTCCTGAAGTCCGTAACACAACTGCCTTCACCGAGCACACGTCAGAGCGTGCAGGACCGGGTTGGGATCCCGCTGCAGAAACCTCGACGTCCCCACAAAGCAGCGATATATTGTCCTGGCACCATGATTAAAGCACAAGACCAGGCAGGGGCCATAGGTGTAGGCTGGGTGAAGAGTCACCAGTAACTTTTAGTTGCTTCTGTTCGGTGGCTTTGCTTCCCTCAGTGCTGATTTACTGAAAATAGACCCATTTTCTTTTTTCGTGCTCTAGGAGCAAACTGCTAGGACGCTACCTCTGCCTTGGCTTATCCCGGTGTCTTTGCAATCTGAATAATTACCTGGCACTTGCTCGCAGCCAGCAGTAGATGGCAGGTTCAGACCTTCGGCAGCAGAGATCTAAATGAACCCGTGACCGATCTAAATGAACCGGTGACCACAGCTGGTCTGGGCTGTCCCCGGTGCAGCGCTCCCTATCCCAATGTGGTTGCTGCCCATGGCTGTACAAATGTCTGTATCATTAGAGCTGTTTCTTGCAAGAGAGAAACAGTGGCTGGTTACGCTGTTTGCAAACAAAACAGCCTCTCTACAAGGACTTCTTCCTTTTATCTCTTTTGCTTAAGAGATGAAGGGGTAAACGATGGTACCTGCTCCATCGTGTTGGTATGGAGACAGTCTCTGCGCCATTTGCTGCTCAGAAATGGGCTTGCTGAGGGGAGATGAGCGTCTTCACTACCCAAAAGTGGATGAGCAGAACTGTTAAAGCCCGAGGACAGCGGTGACAGCAGGACTCTGGCCACCTAGCGCTTGCGGTAGCCGTTGTCTTCCATTTCTTTCCACCTTCCTGGCCTCTGGCTCAGTGATCACAGTGAAGTTAGGAGCACCCCATAATTAAATGCAACCAACCCATTGCAAATGGGCTACAGATTGCAGAGGTAGCATCAGATCTGCTGTGTCTTAATGTCTGAACAAGTGCTACCCAGGTGTTCTCTAACAGGATAGCTTTCTAGATGCGTTTAAAGGCGAAATGGGTGAACCTGTGGCTGCGTGTAGCTTCCTCTGGCTCCTGTGGGTCATCAGGTGGCTGGAAATGCCACACTCGTGGTCGTGTTAGCGTAATGGTGGTGGCTGGGGGGGTGTGAACGTCGGGGGGAGCTTTGGGAGTTGTTTCTCGCTCTCTGGAGTTTCTTCTGGGGATGGCCGCATGGAAAAGACTTCCCGGAGGCTCCCTGTGTGGCTGATGCAACATCACCCAGGCTGGACCCCTCTCTCCAAAACTCTGGCGGAGGCGTTAGCGCCTTCTAATGAGCAAAACCATGGGCGGAGCGGAGGATTCACGCGATGGGGTGGCTCTGGCTCTCACCGGCACATGACCTCTTGTTCCCCAGGTGTGGTGGAGACGGGACTCTTCATCGACATGGCAGAGGTGGTGTACTTCGGCATGGAGGACGGCTCGGTCAGCGTGCGGGAGAAGCAGCCTCGCTGACCCCAGCGCGCTGCCTGCTCTGCGTCGCCTTCGGCCAGTTTGATTCAGCTGTTGTAACGGTGCCAACCTGACGTTTTGCCTTAACGAGCAGCGGTTATCGCAGGAGACGGACGGGAAGTTGATCAGAATCCGCTGATGTGATACTGAATGTCTTTTTTTTAAAAAACAACAAAAAATTAT